TTAAATTGTGCTATGAATTTACAATGGAAGAAGAATCTCCTCTTCGAAACGAAGTTAGAAGTAGTCTGAAAATGTTACTGTTGTTGTTTGGCTTGAGTCATTGTTATTATAGATCGGGGACCTTTGATGACTCTCACTTTTCGCGAACAAATTAGTCTTAGTCTTCTTTCACAAGGCTTATCATTTGAAATGATTTAGCTAAAAAGAATAAAAGCAAGGGATCATTCACACTAACCTCTTAGAGGTTGACAAAAGTGAGCTGGTTAAAGACAGGTTTTTAAGGTTTTTACGTGATGTAAACAAAGAAAAAGTTGCTGAACTAGTTCCTTTCTCACCCCTTTCGTCCATTAGGGATCGTTCTGTCAATTTACTGGGCTTTTTTTTCTACATTTTGTAGGCTCGAGGTTTTCAAGTCGATATATTTTATGTTGATTGTTGTGTCCAAAAAGTAATTGTATTGCCGGAAAGCCTTTTCTGGACCTGTGGATTTTCTGCCCCGAACATAAAGTGCAAGTATAGAATTATTTGTTATCTATCTTTTGTTTTATTTGTGGAAAAGATTTTATTTACTAAAAACCATAACCTTATTTTCTCTTTAGGGCTTGGGTGATTTTGATCTACGTGATCTAGGTTCTGGTTCTTCTGCTGTCGCTCACTCCATTGAGACGCAAAACACATATAAGAAACTTCAAAAAAAGAAATACCCTCATTTTCGAGCGAGTTCCCTTTAAATTTATACTCCGATTTTTTAGAGATACAGGTATAGATACAAGTATAGATTTCAGCTATACTTTGACACTACCTTCTATCCTAAATTATCTGTGGAGCAGGGAGAGCGAACCACAGAAGACTTTTCGGAATGTCCTTCACGTATGAGCAAGAAATACCCGTAAACGTAACCTAGAAAACCAAAAGAAGGTGTTCTAACGTCGTAAGATACGGAAACTGGTTCTTATTAGTAACAAATGCAGATACCCTGTTTTTGGTTTTGTAGGATACCTTGTTTTTTAGAGTGTGGTTAGAGTGACAGACTACTAATCTGTCAGACAAAGGCTCAATCCTTACATCTGACGTTATTACTCTTTTTTTCTTTCTTTTCTGCTGACGGTTTACTGGCTGCTTTTAAACCATTTACTGACAGTTAACTGCCTAAAAACGTACTAAAAACCGTCTGTTTTACGTAGACCGTTTTAGCGTCGTAAATTGGTAGTTCAAACTGTCTGAAAACTGCCTATTTACAGCAAGTAAACCGTCTTTTAACGGTCAAGCTTCTCATAAAAATTTGATATATGAGAACACGGTTTACTGGCAGTTTTTAGGCAGTTGAAAAACCACCTATTTACGGTGGTAAAACCATACCATCCGAACCATCAAAAAACCTCCTAAAAACTGTTTGAACGGTCTAAAAACGGCCAGTAAACTGCCTGTCAACTGGCAATTAACCGGGAGTTAACTTGGCAGTTTTCAATGCCCTGGGATGTTGACAAGGCTAGAAAATAAAGGATTTCAGTTGGTATTTTTTGAACGTTTCAAGTTGGTTTGATTGGGCTTTGAATGAGAGAGTTGTTTTATTCTTTTACACCCACCGATAAAATGAAGAAATTTCAATCAGAATTCAGAAATCATTATCCGAAAAGAGATTATTTTTTTCTTAATTCTTTGAGATGATAGAGCAAAATTTTCTGTACAAAAGGGTTGAGATGTGATAAGCATTCTGCTGAGTCGCCTTGTTTTTAGAAAAGGATAATATTAACTTGCTCACCACAAAGATGATAACTGTATAAATCAGATATTCGATAAAATTCTGACATATGTTTTAGATCTGTTGTTAGCCTTAAACGACTTTCTTTTCAGTTTTTCTTTGTTTTCTGCAGAATAAATCAGAATATTTACCTAAGAAAAAAACAGCTGATTAAAGATCTTATGAAATAATTTTACTCTACTTTTTTAACTGGTTGTTTGTTTAAACCCATATGTCAGCATCTTCGCAGCACAAAATTTGGCCATTATCACAATATGTCTTCTCAACAACTAACAACATCATATCAAACCTCTGATGATGCAGTCTTGCAGTCTATAACATCTTTTATGGAAGGGAGCGCCCGTACACATGAAAAAGATAGTACTAAGATTAAAGCTCTGAAACTATTTGTATCTAGTTCTTAGCCGATAAGCTGCAAGAGAAGAGAAGAAGTGATATTATATTTAAATATGTCAAGTTTTATCTTCGACTTAACAACACATATATTTATTATAAAATGCAAAAATGTCTATCTATCCAGAATTTTTACAACATAAAACGGTTGAAAAAGGCTTCTACAACTGCTAAAACATTTTTCTAAAACCTTTGCATATGAAATGAGTGACTTCACGGACGCCACAATCAACGTGAGGAAATACGCTTTCTGAAAGTGTAATATCGGGGACACTCCAAAATTACTCAAGGATTGTTTGTTAGCATTGCGATTCCGAATTTGATTATGCTTATGCTGATTATGCTCATATTTTTATGTCATATTTCTACCCTTTTCATGAAGTCATAGAATAGGAAATTTTTATAGAATATGATGTCAACTGACAGCATACCAGAGCCCATCTGTCCGTTGATTCTAGGAAGTAGACGTTACAAAATGTTTTATTGTGTTATGATTGTGATCAACCGCTCTACACATATAATATTTGTAAGCACGTATAAAAAATTTGAGGGGCTACAGAAAAATGATATTATTTTCTAGGTTAAAAAAGCGTCAATTTATTCAATTGATCATAGGGATAATTCAGCAAATATATAAAGAAAAAAGAGGTGCAAATACATAACGGTTTATATATACGAATGAAAATACTTTTTTTTCTTTTCCGCAGGTAATAACCATTTTAAAATAAATAATATTTGCTCACAATATTTTCTAATTGTTCTTTGTAAATAGAAAAAAAGTCTAAGTTAAGTATTTTTTTTTTCGCGAGCATTATCACGTGGAAAACATATTAGATTAGTGCAATTAAATTGACATAGCCTTCATGAGACAATTTGACAAGGATATTCAGACAGACGCTGACTTTTGCTTTATATTGAAAAAATACTTTTGTTTTTCGAACAGTCGGGGTTAGCACAGTTATCGAAGAGTGTGTAATATTTCGATTCACAAGTATATAAAACAAAACAAGCCATAGAAAGAAAAAAAAACTTGAAAATTTCATACTGATGAACTGATGAACAATTAATTGTTTACATGAAAAGAAATATAAGTAAATATGAAAATCAAATTCTTAAAATGTATATAATTTATTGTTTTCATCTTACTTTAACATTCAAGGCTACTACTACTAATATGCCCTATAATTATTTTTTCAAGCATACAATAACGGCAAAAAAATATAACGATCGGGGCGTTTTGAATATAAAAAAAAACTATTTATAAATGAAATCTGATGTATTTTGTGTTTTCTTTGTACACATGCACCCAAACAATGCGAGAACTTCTCGAAATAATTTCAAGGAGAAAAATTATTTCAGTGCTTGCTATTGACATTAATTAAATTTCAAACAGCCATTGTGGTGCTTGCGAATGTCATCCGTCTATGCTGTTAGCTCTTTGATAGTGAGTCAATTATGATATTTCTTTCATTCAGAATTGACATGTCAGAGTAATTTTATAGTCAAAATTTTGTTAGCAGACTTCACCATTATTCTTTATCGTCGTTATAGAAAGAAACATAAAGGATGAGAATTGTTTTCAATCAAAACAAGCATCGATCGAATAGAAGAAACTTGCTGAAGAGGACAATCAAAAATATACTGTAAATCAAACAGGACTAACCCAAGCAAAAATCACCTATGGGAAAAATCTAGTTACATTTTGTCTGTAATCGGGCGATACATGACTAGTTGCCATCAAGATTACTAATTGAAAAAGGGACTTTTAACTAGATGTGTCTGCATGTCAAGTAGAAATAATAATCGGGCGATAAATCGATAGTTGCATTAAGGAGAAGAAATCTAGCAATCGTCCGATTACTGGATTTCCGCTGTTGTTACTAAATAATTGCAATCGAGTAAAAATCTAGTAATTTAAATGAATTGGATGATAATTGATTTTTTTTTTGATGTTTGGGAAGAGTAAAGAAAGTGAGCGTTCAGTTCTCAGATTAGAAACTTGCAAAATATTGTGATTAATTCTTGTTAAATTCTCACCAAATCTTGACAAAATCTTATGAGATTCTCGTAGAATTATTGTCATTTTCATGAAAAATCTTATATAAAACTGAACAAGAATATTACAAGGTTTTTATTAAAATTTACCAAAATTTTGTGAAGGAGAGAGATACTTATACGATCGCATCATAAATCCCCAACGTTCATAGGTATAGTTTGTTAGGTATATGGACTTAATTCCATAATTTATCTAAGTACTCCAGTGTTTATTGTTTAAAGCAGCATATGCTACGAGTATATCTCCAGCAAACATATTCATGTACATAACCAAAAAAGCTCGATAAATAATTTGATAACCTATTTATTAGTATATATCAAGATATGAAACTTAAGAAAATATTAATGACAATTTTGACTGTAATATTATATTAAGAATTTCGAAAAATAGTCTTATAGAATTTTGTGCTAAATACATATGTCTGCTAATCTATTAAATGTTTTGACTAGGATATGATCACCTTGTTCACATCACATGAATTTCTTCGAAGTTCAGTCGTTATTTTTAGTTTATGTACTATCTGTCTTATATCAAAATTTTTATTTTATATATTTAAAGAATTAGTATAGTAAACATGATGATTTTGTAATTTAATTTTTTCTCAATCAGAACTGTTTACTATACCAGAACCTTTTGTTATTATATAAAATAAAGTATAGTAATTGTTCTAGTCCATGAGTATTTTAAATGCTAACAAAAGATAATATAAATAAAATCTTAATATCTTATTATTTCAAAATAAAACGTGTTTTCAGACCGAATTTTTGAGATTGATTTTTTTCTATACATTTACCTCGAGAACAATAACTCATCAAGATCATCACATGAATCGAAATTATTTTGAGAGTAGAAAGTATTGTCAAAATCTGGAAATACTGAATCCTGAGAAAGTGAGGGTTTATCCCATGATAAATAATTTGATGTTGTTGTTGCTGTACTTGTCGTTGAAATCGACGATATATCAGATATTGTTCGTATATAATTATTAAAATCAAATGATGATGGTAAATAATTCAATGATTGAAGATCATTTTTTTGTGTAGAATTATCTAATGGAAATATTGAAGTGCAATCATTTTCATTCAATGAAATTGAACCATCAACTTGATCACTTATCATGCACACATACATATGTGTCGTTAGTAAAGTTTGTAAATGTGTTTTTTGATTTTTCAATACGTTTATATTACTTATTAACGAATCTGATTCTTGCTCTAAATCTTGTATTTGCTTATTTAAACGTTCTTCAATAGTTAATCGTCGAATTCGAACATTTTCAGCTGCTGCACGATTTCTTGCACGACGTATTTGACGTTTATGGTCTTCTATTGGTGGAAGTACTTCATATTTTGATCGGCGACCAGTAGAAAGAGTGAGCGCAGGTTTTCTTCTTGGACGAACTACAATTGGACCAAATTTGATAATATTTTTTAGTTTCGTATCGGACAATGTTGGCTTTTTTACTATTGTTTCATCATCATCATTTAAAGTTGATGAATAATTACTATTTGAATCGACAGGTTCAGTACCACTATCTGATCCACCACTGATATAGCAGGGCGACATTTCGATTTTGACCGATTTTAGTTGTTGTTTTCGATTTAGATCCGTGGAATTTGACGGCGAAAAATTAAAATCACCTGTACACATTTCGAATGTTGTCGATGCAATAAAATTTGATCGCATGTGATATCGGAAAGATCGAAAGAAATAGAAGAGAAAAATAATAAATGTAAGAATGTTTGGTTGATTTAGTAGGCTCTCAATATGTTGATGATAATGACCATTATAACTTTGACATGATTATGTATATATTTTTTGCTGGGCAAATCGGAATGAGAAAAAGCTATTTTATAGTACATTCTCATATGTCAGAGCAAGAATAGAAAAGAAAAACGAAAAAGCCTTGAATAGGAGAGAAAATAAATATACACGTGTTCTGCTATTATGAAACATATTAATTAGTAGTAGGTATAAATGAGGTCATCAGGTTATTGATATATTTTTCTTAGTGTTCAATGGCATTACAGTCTAAGGTATTTTTCACAAAAAGCCTTTAGTCTTACCTAAATTTCGACAAATTATACTTTTGACTAAAGCTGTTCTAATCAGCTTCGCGATAAGCAGCAAAAATTACCTACAATTTTTGCTCGGAAAGAAGAAAGTAATTGTAATTATTTTGATTTACGTATGTTCCAGTAATAAAAAAAACTAAAAGTTTGTCTTCAATTTGAATTTTTATATTTTAATTTTATGATCTAAGTTGTACACTCAATTTAGTTTTAACTTAGCCTTTTTGAGAGGCATACATCAGAATTTACAGGTATTATAAAACCGTAATTCTTTGGAATAAGTTTTCATTGCAGTCTTATTTACCTTCGACCGACCATTTTTCTGAGGACTCTAAGATAGAGATGTACAGGGCGCCCTTACCCTACCCTACCCTATCCTGCAGGGTAGAGTAGGGCGGCGCTTCGAAGTCACAGGGTAGGGTAGGGCCAGGGCTTTGTCTAAAAAAGATATATCGTCGGTGCAACATTGAGGTCGGTCGCTATACCCTAGTCGAGAGTCCCGGCAGAAGTCCCGCGGGAGTCCCGATGGATTCCTGCGGGACTCCCTCGGGAGTTTTTCTTCTGAAAAAATCCATAGGGAGTCCTACGGGACTCCACAAAAAGTTCCACGAGAGTCCCATACACAAAAAATTTTATTTTTTGAAAAAATCACTATGAATAAAGAGGTAGGCAGTAAATTCAGGTGTACACAGCAAATTCAGCTCTCTGTTCCCTTATCTAAGTAGGTCTCATTTTCGCTAGTCACAATGTTACACTATCGAATTTTTGGACAAGTTTTCTTTTGAGACATCTCTTTCACAGATTAATTAAGTCCGTATATGTCACAGAAAAGAATGAAAAATTCTCGAAAATAATTATTAACCAGCGATCGAAAGTTTTCTTGCCCAGTGGCATCCGAAAAAACTAATTTCATCTGTTTATCATCCAGATAATTGTTCGAACTTGAAAATCTATTCCACTTGTTAGCAGAAAATCTGTGCAATAACAACTTTTGATATAAAAGAGTCGCTTAAAAGGAATGTTCCTTATGATAGCTGAGACACTGATTTCATCATGTTTTACCCGGTTTTCTCTTCGGGAACGTAATGCAATCAGGGTCAATCATTCACCTCAGATTCACTTTAGTTCTACTTTAAAAAGGTTCAAAAAGCAGATATAAACTGCAAAAAGTTCGAGTATAAAAGTAGTCTACTTTTAAGAAATAAAATGCCTTATATATATATATATATACGTTTATATCACGCGGATAAGCACATGGAGCAATCTGTCCTTTTCTAACATTTTTCTTCAAACTTTATTTCTTAAAGTAGACTACTTTTATACTCGAACTTTTTACAGTTTATATCTGCTTTTTGAACTTTTTTAAAGTAGAACTTAACCACTAGAATAACCAATTTACCGAGTAAGTACATAGCAGTTGCAGTGAGTGAGAGAATAAGGATATATAAAATCCTTTCTATTTACTGTCGCACAGTTGCAGTTTTTCATTCATTTTGGGTATCAACAATCGTTCTTTCTCATGAAATGCACCAAATCTAGGAGATTTCTTAGTGTATAGACTCAGTTAATGTTTGCTGTGTAAAGATCTGAAAAATAAAACTGCATAGAAGTGAGAAATGCATGAAAGATTGATGCTATAACAATTGAAACGGTAAAACTCACAGGCGAGCTATAAAACATTTAACCACTCTCACTTTTATTCTGCGATCAAATACCAGTTATATGGCAAACCATAATTGAGACATACATGAGAAAAAACTCTTCATATGGTTCTTATGACAAGTAGAAAGGATTTAGACAAAGAGAGGGCGTGTTAATAAAACTACTGTGTACAAGTTTTGATCTCAACTTCAAAGTGAGTCTGAGATGATTGACCCTGACTGCATTATGTTCCCGAAGAGAAAACGGGTAAAACATATTGAAATCAGCGTCTCCGCTATCTTAAGAAACATTCCTTTAAAGAGACCCTTTTATATCAAAAGTTGTTTTTAGTTAATCCGTGAAAGAGATGTGCCTCAAAGAAAACTTGTCCAAAAATCCGATAGTGTAACTTTGTGACTAGCGAAAATGAGCCCTATTTAGGTAGGGGGACAGAGAGCTGAATTTACTGTGTACATCCTCTAAATTTACTACCTGCCTCTTTATTCATACTGATTTTTCCTTTTCAGATGAGATTATAACATGACAAAAGCATCGTCTGCTCGACGAACGCATTAACATTGGATTGCACTATGTTCTCGAAGAAAAGTCCGAGTAAAACATAGTGGAATCATAGACAGCTCGGAAACGTCTTAAATTAAATATTCAACTCTTTTCTGCATTTTGAGATCTCTTCAGACTCTAGAAAATGTAACCTCAAAAAGTTATGATTAAAATGGCAAGATCTACTTTTCCAAAAAATAAATCGAAATATAGCTAGCGGCGTTTTAAGTTTAACATAACTCTTTGAGGATACATTTTCTAGAGTCCCAAGAGATCTCAAAATGCAGAAAAGAGTTGGAAATTTAATGTAAGACGTTTCCGAGCTGTCTACGATTTTTCGTTGCGAAGATTTTATAGGGACTTCCGTCACGGGATCCTGCCGGGACTCTCGCGGGACAATTTTGTTTAGATTTTTCGGGGTTTTACTGGGACTCCCGACGAGACCCCGTGAGGGGAATCCCGTAGGACTTTTTTTTCGGGACTCCCGCGGGCCTTTGGTCGGGAGTCTCGACTAGGGTAGCGACAGTTATTTAAACTCTTTATTTTATCGGATGCAAGACACCCATTTTTGGTGCAATTGGCAATATAAAAAAAACAACAACACAGGCTAGACGAAGAAACGGTCGATGACATTATGTTTGCTACGAAATTTTAAAAAAGAATTTTTATCAATATGGTTCATTTATTAAAGAAATAAAGAAATAATTTTAAATGAAAAATTCTCAAATTTTCAAAGGATAGGGTAAGACCAGGGCTGCATTGCCACAGGGTAGGGTAGGGCCAGGACTTCATTGCTACAGAGTAGAGTAGAGCCAGGGCGCAAAAGCTTTTCGCAGGGTAGGGCAAGAGCTCCGTAAACAGTTACCCTGCACATCCTACTCTAACATATCTCAAAAGAAAGTCTACAATTGTTATCAGAAACATATCATTTCAAAAAGTTATCTCTAATAAACATGATTAAACATCGACACAATGTCTCAGGTGAGGTCAACACCCCAGGTCAAAAACAGTTGACATTTAATAGGACATAAATGGCTTGTTAACGAAAACAGTGTTAACTAGCTAAAAAATATCATTTAAGATCCATTTTATGATCTGTTAATAGACAATAAATTACACCGTTTTCAACATCCTCTGATTATTAATTTTTCAAGGACAACTGCCCTCTCAGCGTACTTTTTGGCATATTTTTGACATTAGCGAAGAATATCGCACTGTTTCAGAACCTTTTTCAAAAAATCTTTATATTGAAAAGGACTCGAGAGCGCATCCAGACTGGAAAGGTTCAGTAACACTTTGTAGTCAAGGAGCATTGGTTCAATGCAGTTTTTTTGAGTAAAGCGAGTAAACTAGTAATGTTCATCTAGGCTACGACTCCGTGCTAGTGTTTTAAAACTTTGTAAATGATGTTTTTTATTTGCAGTAGGTCTTGGAGTCCACGCAAAAAATGATTGGATAAAAAAAAAGTGGGATATGGTGGAAACCAAATCTCATTACTTCAATAAGACTTGACACTGATAGGAAGAGTAGAGCACATCTGCGGTCAATTCAGGATATTTAGACTTATTTTAGAAAACAAATTGGGTTTGGGACATCTGCTCAAATGAAATTCCCTCGAAAGCGATAATCTCGAAAAGAATTTCTTCGAATGAAGGTTTCTTGAACAGAATTTCCCTGAATGGAAATCTCGAATTTTCGAAACAGAAATTATCAGTATTATTTGAAGTTTATAGAACCTTCTCGGTTATATATGTTTGCACCGATCACTATGGGTGCGACCAGTCAGACTACGGGGGATGGTGCTCTATTGAGACAAGAATTTTTTTTTCAGAGAACACAAGAAAAAAAAATTTTCTGCTAAGAAAATTGATTTATTTGTATTTTTGAGGGGGTATCGCAAAGTCACTTTAATACATAACATTTGATACATTGATACAAAGACGAGAAATAGGTAATGGTACGCATTTTACACTTGAAACAATCTATTTGCACTATAAACATGACAACTTTTTCTACAACTTCTGAATCAAAACCTTTACTGAATTAAATATCTTCATCCCAATATAAAACAACAGATAGCTGCTATAGCTCGTAATATCCATTTATAAATTTAATGTTTCAAATAATTGATAGAATAACTGAGATAGGTTCAATTGTCTTGTAGGTATTTATCTGTAGCTGAAGTAATTTTTTGTGTTGATCTTTAATGTTTCCCTTGTTCTATGCACTCCAAATAATCTTGATAATTTCTGTTTCGAAAATTCGAGGAGGTTTCGATTCAAAGAAATTCTGTTCGAGAAAACTTCATTCGAGCAAATTTCCCTGAATCAACAAATCATAGCAAGCGTTCTACAACATGAGACGTTCTTCCATTTTGCTAATACCCTTTGGAGATCGGATGAATCGAATATT